GTTGGCGCACTTGCTGTTGGCACACTTGCTGTTGGCGCACTTGCTATTGGCGCACTTGCTGTTGGCGCACATGCCTTTCGCGCACTTGCTGTTGGCGCACTTGCCTGGGCGCACTTCCTGCTAGCGCACTTGCTGTTGGCGCACTTGCTGTTAGCGCACTTGCTGTTGGCGCACTTGCTGTAGGCGCGCTCGCTGTTGGAATGCTTGCTGTTGGCGCACTTGCTTTTGGCTCACTTGCTTTTGGCGCCCTTGCTGTCGGCGCACTTGCTGTTTGCGCACTTGCTGTTGCACTTGCCTTTCACGCACTTGCTGTTGCACTTGCCTTTCGCGCACTTGCTTTTGGCGCACTTGCCTGGGCGGACTTGTTGTTAGCGCACTTGCTGTTGACGCACTTGCTGTTAGCGCATTGCCTGTTGGCGTGCTTGCTGTTGGCACGCTTGCTGTTGGCGCGCTCGCTGTTGGCGTGTTCGCTGTTGGTGTGCTTGCTGTTGGCGCGCTCGCCGTTGGTGCACTCGCTGTTGGCATGCTTGTTGTTGGCGCGCTCGCTGTTGGCGAGCTTGCTGTTGGCGTGCTTGCCGTTGGCATGCTCGCTGTTGGCGCACTTGCTGTTGGCGCACTTGCTGTTGGCGCACTTGATGTTGGCGCACTTGCTTTTGGTACACTTGCTTTGTCGCCCTTGCTGTCGGCTTACTTGCTGTTGGCGCAATTGCTGTTGGCGCACTTCCTGTTGGCGCGCTTGCTTTTGCCGCACTTGTTGTTGGCGCACTTTCCTTTGGTGCACTTGCTATTGGCGCACTTGCTGTTGCATTATGCACCACGCACGCCATGCACCATGCACCATACACCTCCCACTATTCCTCTGTAGTCTTTCGTTCTACACTCTGTCCTTCCATTTCTCCTCGCCGCCTATCGTTACCCATACTTTGCGCTTCGGTCTCCCATCGTTGCATGTTATGCGCCCTATTTCTGTCGTGTATTTCAACTCGTCTTCCTGCCCTCTTTGTCCTTCCATAAACCGTTCCTCTCTTCCATTTTCCTTTCTACCCTTTGGCTCCGGCCTCTTGCCCTTCTGCCTTAACCTCCCTTGTGATAGCTACCGGTTCGTAATTGCAACTGAGGGGGCATCATTTGGTTGTACAAACCGCAACTACATTTGTGCATTGCCAACGGGGTGCAGGGGGGGAACGGGGTGTGGGGGGGGAGGGAGGATGGTGGGGAGCGGAGGGGATGGGGGATGGGGGGTAGTAGGGGGAAAGGGAGAGTGTACTTCAACGCAACTAACAATAAATGAGTAGTTTAGCCTATTCGACTCTTGTTATGTTTTGCTTAGAGTTCTTGTGTATATTTTATTGCCTGTACTCCCATGATGTGTGGTTTCTATCCTTTTTGTCGCATTGGTTCTTTTTCCCCTACGTTCTTGCCCTTCTTTTTCCCTTTTGCTTATTGTGGGTGTTTTCATGTGTCATGGGTCTGTGAGTATATGTTGGATTGCATGGTATGAACCGTTATGTAATCATCACTGTCGGTGTCGTGTTTGTAGTGGAGTGATGCATATATGCCAAGTGCTTTACGCAATTTGCAGTTGTCATTGTCGGCTTGGAAAGCATCGCTTCCAAAACGTACATGTCAACCTTACTTGCAGCACAGAAGCATTCCTGTCTCGCGTCATTGCATTTACAACATGTGATACCACGTTCGCACATCGTACGCGTTTGTGCTAGAGTGGTGCATATATGCCAAGTGCATTACGCAAGTTGCGGTTGTCGTTGTCGGCTTGGAAGGCATTGCTTCCAAAATGTACATGTCAACCTCATTTGCAGCACGGAAGAATTCGTGTATCGCTTCATTGCATTCACGTCATCGCTACACGTTTGCATACTGTATGTGTTTGTATTGGAGTGGTGCACATATGCCAAGTGCAAACGCACATTGTGGTTGTCATTGTCGGCTTGAAAGCAATGCCTTCAAGACGTATATGTCAACCCACTTGCAGTACGAAAGCATCCGTGTATCGTTTCATGCATTCATGGCATCATTACTCATTCGCATGTTGTACGGTACGTGTTTGTACCGGAGTGATGCATATATGTCAAGTGTAAAATGCAAACTGCGGTTGTCGTTGTCGGTTTGGAAGCTAAGCTTCCATAACGTACATTACATGTCAACCCTATTTGCAGCATTGAAGCATTCGTGTACCGTCTCATACATTCACATTATTATACGGGAGCATGGTATCTGGGTGCTTCAAAAGCTTGATGTTGGTGTGCGATTCTATTATTCCACCACCGTATTCATCGATTATGGAATGGTAGAAGCAGTGCACAACCCCAAATGTGTTAGAATAAGGTAGCCAAGTAGGAAGAGACGCCATGAATGGCGAGAGGTTTTAGGCTAGGAGGAAATTACGAGAGAGAAGAGACTTGGAATAGAAGTGAGAGAAATACAAGAAGGGGGATTGTATCCTCTACAGTAAAATCCAGTAACACCTACCAAGCCTACCATAATATATATCTCACATATATATTTTAACACACCCCTTAGGCTTGGTCGCTGAAAGCCCACCACACATACAGCACACTAAGCCACACACCCCCTAGCACCCCCATACTCAGCAGTAGCGACGGCTACTCCCGCATGGTCAACCCCACGGTGCGTGAGCCAGGGAGATGGCGACAGCGAGGGCAGCGGCTGCAACGGCGGCGACGACGGCAGCGTCGACAGTGGCGGCGGCGGCATGGCCAGCGGCACCAGCTGCGGCGGCGGCGGCGGCGGCGGCGGCGCGCGGCGGCGGCGTGGCCAGCGGCACCAGCTGCGGCGGCGGCGGCTTCAACGACAGCTGCCGGCAGCGGCGGAGCTCGAAGCACTCGGCGGCGTGGCCGGGCTCCGCGACAGTGGGACGGCCGGCGCGAGTCAGCCATCGGTTGCGGCGAGGAAGAGGGGACGCAGGAGAAAGGGAGGGGGGGGGGCGGGGCTTCAGCAGCAGAGCCCGGGAGCGTGCCGCCACGTGTGGCGCGCTGGCTGCATGCAGGCGTGCTGGCCAGCGCTAAGACGGGGCACTTGTCGCTGCCGACCGTGCCGTACGCGCGCTGGCAGCACGTCGCCACGGCAGCACGACGGCGCCGTCACGCTGCCACGGCTCGACGTCGACGGTGCCGACAGCGCGTCGAGACGGCCGCGGCAGCACGACGCGGCCGGCGGCACGACGACGCCGCCATAGCAGCACGACGCTGCCGCCATGGCAGCTCGAGAGAGAGAGGATTGCGTGGCGGAAGCGAGGGAAGAAGGTCCAGCAGGTTGAACCTGCTCTGCTACCATGTTAGAATAAACTAGCTAAGTAGGAAGAGACGCCATGAATGGCGAGAGGTTTTTGGCTCGGAGGAAATTACGAGAGAGAGGAGACTTGGAATAGAAGAGAGAGGGATACAAGAAGGGGGGTTGTACCCTTTACAATAGAATTCAGTAACACCTACCAAGCCTATCATAATATATATTTGACATATATAATTTAATAAAATGAACTACCTGATATTGCACGTGAGCATATTTCTAGTTTTGTTTGTTTTGTGTGTTATTTTATGCGTTTGTTTGTTTCAAGTGATGAGTCAATGTGGTGTGGTATTTATTGTTGTTTGTGTATGAATTGGAATGGAGGAGAATGTGTGATGTTTAGAGGAATGTGTGTGTAGTGGAATGGTTTATGTAACATGTGGATGTTTCGAAATGTGTGCGCAATTCTTGCATAAAATGAAGAATTGTGACAATGTACGTTTTTATACCATTGTCCGGCGTAGTTATCGACGAACATTGGTAGATGAAACATACATCATAAGTGTATGAGGGCAGTACACGAGTGTAAAATACATTAAAAAGACAATTCAAAAGTGTAGATTGTGGCGCACGAAAACATGAAACGAAATTTATAAGGTTGCTATGCAACCAAAAACTACCAGACATTTTTTTTAAGCTTGGCATCGTGCCTCCGTCGCCTGTATTCGCGGCAAGGCCACGCTCATGATTTCCCGCCTGCCTCCTCTTGTCAACCTTCAGTGGAACGAGACGCCTTCGTTGATTGCTGGCTTTGCTCGGCTCGTAGACGGAGGTCTCGCATTGACCTTGGGCTGTGTGGTGCTCTTGCTTGGGTATGGAGCTTCACCACTCTGGACCACAAGGAAACATGTTTATAACCACAACACCACGTCTCAAACCTTTTTAGGTGAGGAATATGCTTCTGAACAGTGGCGTCGGTCCCTGAGTCCAAGTAACGGCTTGCCACGTGGCTTCGGTTAAAAAAAACTATAGGCTGTGCCTTCCGTTTGTCGCACGCACGAGGTCACCTCGCTCGTGATGGCAATGGCTTCATGGTTGGACGAACTCCTGCGACGGCGCTGCTCGACTTTCACAACATTCTGGCCCGACGAAGCTACCTAGTGATGTTGTTACCTTCGCTAGCTCGTCGCTAGTTCCCCATGCATGCTCCTCCATCCAACATTTCCCAGCCGAGCCTCCCCTGGAAACCAGTGGCCTTGTCCTGCAGGCACTCGATTCCATCCGAGGAAGGCTCGTGACGAAGCTTCCAAAGCACCACATCTTGGTTCGGAGCTGCCAAACCCAAATCGAACTGTCCGAACCAGCAGAAAGCAGTACACGCCGGGAAACCAAAGAAAGCCCTTCAAAAACATCGGAGCAGAACTGCCCAGCTCCACTAACTCCCAAACTCTAGCGTTCCCTCTGCCGGTTTTTACCCCTTGCTCTTTTTTCTCGAGTTGGGCAGATTTTGTTTCCCCAGAATTCGTCTACACGCATTCCATTTCGCAAAGATCGTTTGCCCCTTCGGTTGCCGAACTTATATTTTGGCTCGGCTTGTTACCACCTGGTGAGGCTCGGGGATCTCGTTTCCATTTCCATACCGATTCCATGTGCCTGAGGACAAGGCCAGTGAATACTGTATTGTAGTTCCCCTCCCAACCTCTCCTCTTCACTCCCTTTCCTGAACTACTGCCCTCCACCAGCACTCACCATGGCAACAAGAGCCTTGCTTTGTTTGCACTTATAACGCTCTGTTCCAGATAACGATAGCGCTACAGCCCTCTTCGGTGACTCCGAGTGCCCTATGTAGCAGAGCATTCGCGGATACTTTTGCAGTTAGTTTTACCGCTTTCTCTGGAAGACTCAGCGGAAGAGATTGCACTGTCGTACAGCTAGGTCCCGTTCTTTTAGGCGGCAGAAGCGTTTTGAGTCGATTAAAAACACAGCCAGGTCCCGTGCTTTTAGCTTGCGGAAGTACTTACATCGTATTTTGGCATGGGATGGATGTCAGGCGGACTGGCGTGCGGGAGCTCTCGTCTCAGCCGGCAGTCTCGCGTCACCGAAGGCCAAACTCCCACTAGCAGCCGCAGGTGTGTAGGAAACCCTTGTTTTCTCCAAGCCTTGTCTCCAGGACTTGCAACTCGGGAAATAGTATTGAAGGCTTTTCAGTCGTCTCAGCCGCTAGTCTCGCGTCGCTAAAGGCCAAACTCCCACTAGCAGCCGCATGGGATGAAACCCTTGTTTTCTCCCAAGGTAATGTATGTCGGGAATATTCGCTTAGGCTACGTCGTGGTTTCTTTCGAGTTGGAGCTTCAGCTTCATGCCCACCCCCGTTGTTCTCTCTTTCTCCCCGCTGTCCCCTTCTGAGTCGACTCAAGAAGCATCAACCTCGTGCCCACATCGTGCGTTTTCACTTTCTCTCCATCATTCCTTGAAATCACCTCGGCTTTCACGTTAACATTACCTGGCCCTTGAAACCTTAACATTACCTCTCGCTTCGTCCTCCTTCCGTTCGTTCAACCTCCATCATTTTCCCCTTCCTTCCGTCCCCTCTTTTGTGGCACCTTCGCTGTCTCCTCCAGCAACCCGCCCATTGATAATCAACGGTCAGGATTCCTCCAGCGGTGCCGCCATCAAATCAGCCGCGTCGCACGCCAATGCTGGCCTGCCGACCCCACCTGCTGGTCGCCGGCCGAGCCGCGCTGCTGGGGACCCAACGGCGGCGCGGAAACCCCCGACTCGGAAACCAACGTTAACTCGGGCGAGCTTGTAACGGCCAGGGACGGCGGCGGCGGCAACGCTGCGGGAAGCATCCGCGAAGCTGAGAAGCTAGCTACTGGTGCTGCTGGTGATGGCGATGGTAGCAACGGTGTTGGCGGCGGTGCCGCTGCTGCGGCTCACAAGCAGCATCGGCGATCTAACAGCAGGTCGGCTTCTAAACCCATCGACGACGAATGGTCGCTGAGTCCCTGTAACTCCGTCGCCGATTTCGCCGGCTTGGAAATGGTCGGTCGCGGACGCTGGGCGACCGTTTACGTCGCGACGCACAACAAGACCGGCCGGAGGGTTGTACTTAAGATCTACACGGCGCGGCACGGCACGGCGGCGATGCAGAAGCAGATCGAGCGCGAGATCTGGTGTATGCGCCAGACGCGCGGGCACAAGCACGCGATTGGCTACCTCGGAAGCTTCGTCGACGATTCCGGCAGGATCGAGAGCGCGATTGGCGGGGACAGCAGGGGCGGAGGGAAGGGGAAAGGCCGGTTAGGACAGGGGGTTTTCCGCAATAGTAGCGGGAAAAATGGCTGGAAGAGCGGGGGGAAAGCTGGGGGGAAAAGCGGCGGGCGGGGGAGTGTGGGTGGGGGGAGCCGGGGGAAGCACCGGCGGAAGCAAACGGTTATTGTCGAGGAGTTCGCGGCGGGAGGGGACGTTTACCAGCGGCTGATGAACGAGTTTTGCGGGCAAATGCCGGAGACGATAGTTGTTCGCGAAATCATTTCGCCGCTGTTACAGGTTCTGCGATTTCTCCACGCGAACGCTATCATTCATCGCGACGTGAAACCCGAAAATATTTTGTTCGCCGCGGACGGGCAGCTGAAACTCGCGGATTTCGGCCTCGCCATCTGCACTATGCGCGATTTGCCCGGCGCGCGCGTGGGCACGCTCGATTATATGGCGCCGGAGTTGCTTCAGCCAATTCCTTCCGCGAATGCTGCTTCCGCGAGTGCGTCCGCGGGCGCGGGCGCGGGAGCCAGCGCTGCTGCGCGCGGCAGTTCTGCGGAACCTGCGGAGAGCCCCGCAGGCGAAGGGTCGACGCTGCAGCGGCAAAAATCCAGGAAGCGGTCGAGCGCGCGGCAATCGAGCGGGAAGAACTGGAGATTCAGCGCGGGGAAGGGCGAAAGGGGGAAATCGCACGGGGGGAAGGCGGAAGGAGATGCGGGAACAGGACGGGACGGGGGTAGGGGTGGGGGGGAGGAGGGTGAAAGTGAACCGCGACGCGAGCACGCGGCGCCTTGCATGCCGCTTGGGATGGATCGGCCAATCATTTGTCAGGAAGAGGCTTACCGAATCGCGTTGCCCTATGACGAAAAGGTTGACGTTTGGGCGTGCGGAATATTGGCGTACGAATTGCAGATGGGACGCCCGCCGTTCGAAGTTCCGGGCAGGCAGGCGACTTGCAAAAACATTTTGACCTGCCCGCTGGACACCCTGCCCGGATTCAAGCCAACAGTAGCAATTGCTGGCAACAGCAGTGAGAAAAAGGAGAAGGTTTGTGGGCAGCCCTTGCTATCTCCCCTTTGCATTTCGTTCCTAAAACGAGCGCTGGATCGCAACCCCCAATCACGTGCTTCTATCCGCGAATTGCTGCAGCATCCATGGATCCTCTCCTTCGCCCAATCACCATCCTCCACGTCATCAGCCACACCCTCTTCTCCCCCCCCCCCACCACCACCACTACTACCACCTCCTCCTCTTCCTCCTCTTCCTCCTTCTCCTTCCCCTCCTCCTCCGTTCCCTCCTCTCGCTCCTCCCTCTCCTCCTCCCCATCCTCCTCAATCCTCGCCCCCTCGTTACCTTCCTCCTCCACCCTGCCTTCGTTACAATCACACCCCCCTTCGGCCACCTCCTCTGCCCCCATCAGCCCCTCGTTTCCTTCCGAAAAATGTCTTTCTGACCGTCCGTGGGTACGATTCGCACCACCCCCTCTACGAGGGGTGCAAGCATCCCAGTCGCCCCGCAGCCGCAGCGAAGCGTCGGGCGCAGGGGCGCAGCCACAGCAGCACCACCAGCGCCACCAGCAGCAGCAAGGACAGCAGCAACATTTCGCACAAGCAGGACGAGGAAGTCTGGGAGCAGGGGGGGGAGGAGGAGGGGGAGGAGGAGGGGGAGGAGGAGGGAGGGGAAGTCATGGACCGCACACGAAGCAGCCCCCCTCCTCTTTACAAACGCCTAGTTGGGGCCAGCAGCAGCAGCAGCAGCTGAAGCTGCAGCTGGTTTCGTGGGTGAATTCCATATTCTTTATCACGCCAACCACCAACCCTGCTAGCACCACCACCAGCTCATCTTCCTCCACCTGCCCCCCCAACTGCACCCGCCATTTTGCTTGCGTGCAAGCTTCAAGAAATCGCAGAAGCACCCACAGCAGCCTTCGTGCCGGCGGCCTCAACACCCCTTTCCATACTCGCAGCACTTCCAACCGTTTCACTACCGGCACTGGCGCTAGTATCGCAGCTGCTAATAACGGGTCCGTTTTCTTTGCGAATGGAGGGCTCTCATTAGCTGCGATAAGCATTCTTGCCCTCTTTATAGCGCTCCTCGGTATTCTGCTGCAGGTGGTGGCTCTATCTGTTCCCCGCTGGCCCATGGTTGTTACCCAAGTGCTTGGGGGACCGGTGATAATTGAGGCTTCCCCCCATATAGTCACCCCAGAAGGAGTGTTTAGTGGCAGTGGCCTTGGCAGCAGCAGCAGCAGCAGCAGCAGCAGCAGCAGCAGTGGCGGCAGGAGTGGTAACAGCGGCAGCAGCAGCAGCAGCAGGAGCGAAAGTAGCAGCAGCAGCAGCAGCAGCAGTGGCGGCAGGAGTGGTAACAGCGGCAGCAGCAGCAGCAGCAGGAGCGAAAGTAGCAGCAGCAGCAGCAGGAGCGAAAGCAGCAGCAGGAGCGAAGGCAGCAGCAGCAGGAGCGAAGGCAGCAGCAGCAGCAGTGGCAGCGGCAAAAGTAGCCAGATTGTTGGTGCTGGCAGTGGCAATGGTGCCGAATCCACTGACTCAGTTCTGAAGCATTCAGCATGCCCAGCAGAGGTTTTGGAACTGTTGAGTACTGCAGCAGCCAGAGTCGACTCAGAAGTCACCGGACTATACAAACCAATAATAAGCCTTAGTTGCCATGACTATGGTTCATCCTAGCGGAGCTGCGACCTGCCAGTGGTACCACCTGGAAAGCCTTGATCTGCTATCTAACCGCTCGAAATGAAATCCCTGACGTGCTTCCATTTCCTGCAGTGTGGAGAAAAAGCATGTATGAATATAATGTGGGATGGCTGCTGCTACTGTTGCTATGGTGTCTGGGACTGCAACCCTCTGGGAGCATGTGTTACGTGGCAGGATACGTAAGAACCGGTTGTATCCTTTCATGTTGGCAAAAGAGTACAGGATGATCAGTGTACAGACGGAAATTTAGCTCCAGGGTGCTTCAGCAGGTACTGAACAGAACTCGCATACATGTGATAAACAAGAGCGTTGATTGTACCAATAACCTGAGACCCATACTTGCCAAGCCCAGCCCACAAAATACGGTAAGCTGCTGCAACGGTAAACCGAATGACGCCCCAAAATCTGTGGTTCCTTCAGGCCCATGAGCAGGAAATCAAGGCCCTGCAAGAATGTGAGATGATATTCAGCAAGCTTACCTAACGGTTTGTTGCTCCAACCATTCACATCACACACATGGCTCTAGCCTTTCCTCTGATGACTGGTGTTTGCTGATGCTCCTCAAGCCACTCAGAGTGTCGACAACATTGGCTTGGTAGTTAAGCCATTGAAAGGTCCAAAGTCGTTGCTCATCCAGTCATCTTGCCATTGGCTTATCCAGCCATCTTGCCATTGGCTGATCCGGCCATTCACAGGTGTTGCTTGAGCCACGACGCAACAGTGAGCCATTGCTCAAATTCGCTCTGCGGCCTGTGTGGGGGAGAGAGTTGTAAGGTAGAGGGGCAGGCGAACGAAGGGTGTTGAGATCGCCTAAAACAAGGGTAACACGGCAATGGTGACCCATTACTCAGACTTGCTCTGAGGCCTGCATGGGAGGGGGGTTGCAGGAGAGGGGGAGAGAGGGTGCAGGAGAGGAGGAGAGAGGGTGCAGGAGAGGAGGAGAGAGGGTGCAGGAGGGCACGGGGAGGGGGTTGGAGGAGAGGGGGTGCAGGCAGATAAAAGGTGGTGGAGAGGGTGGTGGAGAGGGTGGTGGAGGGGGGAAACGGTGGAATAATGCTATTTTGATGCATCACTCGCTGATTAAATCTAAACCCCATCGCTCGTGTATCAAGCACCCACCCACCACTCACCAAAGCCCCCTCACTCATATAGTAGTTTCCCATAGCTCTTACCCAAGCCCCATCACTCAACCATCAATGGCCCATCACTCACCCATCAATGGCCCCCACTCACCCATCAATGGCCCATCACTCACCCATCAATGGCCCCCACTCACCCATCAATGGCCCCTCACTCACTTATCAATGCCCCATAACTCACTTATCAATGGCCCATCACTCACTTATCAATGGCATGAACATCTTCTGGCATCATGAGCACTCGTGCCTCTAGCCCTTGCGATCGCAGAGCATGCACCAGCTATCAAGTGTGAGGGGGGATGGTCGAAAGGAGGGGGGATGGGCGGACAAGAGAGGGAGTGAGAGGTGAATTACTAGCACTCAAGCCTCTAGCCCTTGTGACCACAGTCCATGCACCAACTATAGGATGTAGAGGGAGCGGAGGGGGGCGGATGGGGATGGGGATGGGGAAAGCAGAAAGGGTTGGGATGGCTGGAAAAGAAGGGGGCAGTGGGTAGTGTGATATGTGAGCACAAGCCGCTAGCCCCTGCAATCACAGTGCAAATACAAGCTGTGTGAGCAGGCACAATTCTCTTCCCCGATTTTCTGAGAATTCCCTAAAACGCCCTGCAAAATCAACCACGAGCCTCTTGCCCCTGTGATCACAGCACAGTTGCAAACCGTTTGTGGAGACTCAATTCGAGTTGACCTTTGAGTCGCGAGTTGACCTTTGGGCCGCCTCATAATCAGCAGGCCATTTGAGTTGACCTTGAAGTCGCCTCATAATCAGCAGGCCATTTGAGTTGACCTTTAAGTCGCCTCATAATTAGCAGGCCATTTGAGTTGACCTTTGAGTCGCCTCATAATTAGCAGGCCATTCCAGGTGACCTTTGAGTGGACCCAAAAGTCACCCCGATTACAGCGGAGTTGCAAGCTGTGCGAGGGGCATTTCGCCTCCCCTGACAGTTAAGAATGGTAGGACAACTAGTACAAATGGCAATTAGAGCGAAACGGCGATTAGCCTGATGTGATGTCTAGCATTGAGACGATTTTTGGGGCACCTCAAAAAGAGTAGAGCGACGATCAGCCCACCTGCAGAAACAATGTGTACAGCTTGCGGCAGTATTATGCCATTGCTGGAGGGACCTGCAGCTCAGGCTGAGCTGGTTATATCGCATCGCGTTTTAACCATGTATGAGCTCAGCTCACCTGCAGCCCGTTGGAAGAGGGGACACGCAAATCCTTGCCGCCTATGATGAAGAGTGTGGGCACCTTGACCTGTGTAGAGAGAGGGGAAGGGAGGGGGGGGAGGGGAGGGGAGGGGAGGGAAGGGGAGGGGAGAGGAGAGGAGAGGAGAGGAGGGGAGAAGAGAGGATAGGAGAGGAGAGGAGAGGAGAGGAGGGGAGAAGAGAGGATAGGAGAGGAGAGGAGAGGAGAGGAGAGGGAGAGAATGACTACTGACTGTCCCCATCCTTGCCTCCAATGATGAAGAGAGTGGGTACCTTGACCTGTGAAGGGAGGCGGGGGAGAGAAGGGAAGCGGGGGAGAGAAGGGAGGCGGGGGAGAGAAGGGAGGCGGGGGAAAGAAGGGAGGCGGGGGAAAGAAGGGAGGCACATAAGCCTTGAGAAAGGCCTTCAGCTTGGAAGCAGAGGGCGAGTCAGAGGAGGACAGCCATGCCGGGCTGGGGGCTGGGGGCTGGGGGCTGGGGGCTGGGGGCTGGGGGCTGGGGGCTGGGGGCTGGGGCTAGTGAGCCTAAGGGGCGAGGCTGACCATTGGGGTGGAGAGTACTAGGGGGGCACACACACTCACGCACCTTGGACACATAGGAGATGGGAGGGAGACGCCCTCAGAATCGTCTGAAGCTCGGCAGCAGAGGTCGAATCGCTGAATGCCGCCACGCCGAACCACGAAGCACCAAAGAAGTATGCCGGATAGGGGCTCTTTTTGAGGCGCCTCAAATGCCGTCTTATTGCATCGAGACAGGGGCTCGCATACACTGCCAGGAAATGACGTACCTTGGACGCATCGGAGATGGGAGACGCCTTCAGGAAGGCCTGAAGTTCCGTGGCGGTTGGCGCATCGCTGAAGGCTGCCATGCCGGGCTGCACGAGGGCCTCCACGAGGCACCAGTCAGGGCGAGACAAACAAACACTCACTCACGCATGGACACACGCACGCACGCACGCACCTTTGAGTCATAGGAGATGGGAGACGCCTTGAGGAAGGTTTGACGCTTGGCAGCAGAGGGCGCATCAGGGAATGGCGCCAGGCCGGGGTGGGGATAGTGTCCCCTTGTGCAGGAGCAACGCACCTTGGACGCATGGGAGACGGGGGACGCCTTGAGGAAGGCCTGAAGCTCCGCGGCAGAGGGCGCGTCAGAGAAGGCCGCCATGCCTGGCTGGCCAAAGGCCTCCACGAAGCACCAATCAGGGATGTCGGTGGTGCCCACCATGCTCGCGATATTGGTAACCGGGTTACGCAGGACAGCTGTGCGGAAGCGATCGGGCTCCTGATGATAGCGAAAGATGGGGTTTTAGCGGGGGGGGGGAGAGGGGGAGGGGATTGCATGGAAGCCACCAGTCAGGGATGTGGATGGTGCCAACCATGCCGGCGAGATTGGTAACTTGGTTACGCAGCACAGCCGTGCGGAAACGATCGGGCTCCTGACAATGGGAGAGGGGAGGATGAGGATTTGACGGGGAGTGGGGGGGGAGGGACCGAATGAAAGCACCAATAAGGGATGCATGTCGGTGGTGGTTGGTAACCATGCTCGCCAGGTTGGTAACCTGGTTATGCATGACTGTCGTGCGGAAACGGTCCGGCTCCTAATGAGGGGGCGACAGAGGAGAGGGGCGGGGGTGTTTGGTAGGGGGAGAGCAAGGCAGAAACCACCCCACAGGGTTCCAAATATGAGGAGCGGCAAGGGGCGGCGAGAGGAAGGGAACAAATGCAAACACCAGTCGGGGATGTTAGTAATTTCGTTTTGAGTCGACTCAAAGCACCAGCCGGGGAAACGGCAGTAAGTGCTGTGTGCGAAAAGAGAGATATGGGCAACCATCCCAGTTTCCTGAGCCTTTCACATCTGATTCCAAAAAACATTTCGCACCTGCCCGATAAGATGCCCGGCAAGGAAGCCCCCGTGGGAGCCACCAATCACAGCCATGCGTGAAGCATCCACATAGCCCAGCTCCACCACCCGATCGATGGCCTCTAGCACGTCAGACACGTCCTGGTCGAGGGGTTTAGGAGTCCAGGGTTTAAGGCCAAGGATTAAAGGGCTGCTTTGCGCGAAGCATTCGCGAAGCATCTGCGTACCCCAGCTGCAGGACCCAATCAATAGCCTCCACCACATCAGACACGTGCGAGTCACGTCACGCGAGGAGATTGGGATTCATGGGACACCAATCAAAGCACATGCTGGTTGAAGCACCCACATAAGCCAGCTCCACCACCAGATTGATGGTTTCAGGCCATGGGGATGCATAAGGAATGGGAGGGCATGCGAGGGAATGGGAGGGAATGGGAGGGAATGGGTGGGAATGGGAGGAAATGGGTGGGAATGGGGATTGAGGGTTCAGTAGCCAATCACAGCAATTCAAGAAGCACCCACATTCCCTGTAGAGCCACTCCTCACCTGCCACAATCTGGCTCTGTTGCAACCCAGCATGGCTCACCTGCCGCCCAACGTGGCTCACCTGCCGCCCAATGTGTTTTGGCAGGGACTGCAGCGCCTCCTCCCCAAATCCAAGCGACCCCCTGCAAACGTGGGGAGTGGCAAGGGGCAAGTCATAAAAAACTTTTGGAAGGTTCACCCAAGCGTTATGAAATCATTGAGAACATGACATCATGGCATGATAGCAGCATGGCATGATAGCAGTATGGCATGATAGCAGCATGGCATGATAGCAGCATGGCATGATAGCAGCATGGCATGATAGCAGCATGGCATGATAGCAGCATGGCATGATAGCAGCATGGCATGATAGCAGCATGGCAGGATAGCAGCATGGCATGATAGCAGCATGGCATGATAGCAGCATGGCATGATAGCAGCATGGCATGATAGCAGCATGGCATGATAGCAGCATGGCATGGCATCATGGTTTCAGGGTATGTGGTTTCGTGGCGTCATGGCATCGTGGCAGCAACACATGTTGCCATAATTCTGAAGGAAATAAATCCAGCGCGCAGAACTCTTCTCACCTGTAGTTCACGGGCAGCACTGCGTATCCCAGCGTGCAGAGGTACACATAGGGCATCACGAAGTTGGTGGTGCTCACGCCATGGACCCCTATGTGGCACCACCAGCAGGGAATATTACATTCCTGTGACCAGCCACTGCAGTAACCATGTCAACCCATCCTTACCTGTAGATCAAATGAAGCACCGCGTATCCCAGGGCACTGAGGTACGCATAGGGCATCACGAAGTTGGTGGTGCTAACGCCATGTGGATGCAGCCCCCCATGCAGCACCAGAAGAACCAGGAAAGGGGGGTTAAAGTTCAGCAATGTGGTTCCTCACCTGTAGTTCACGTGCAGCACCGCATATCCCAGCGCGCAGAGGTACGCATAGGGCATCACAAAATTCGTGGTGCTGACGCCATGGGGGCCCCCATGCGGCACCACCAGCAGGGGGGGCGGGGCGGCAGGTGCAGCTGGTGCAGGTGCCACCTTGCCCCCTGCAGCAGGGGGAGTTGCAGCAACCTCGGGCTGTCTTCTCACGAAGATGGCTTCAAACGCTTGCTTGGCTCCTGGTTAAAGGAGGGAAAGGGGGGGGTGGGGGGGGAGAGAAAAAGACTGTGCGTTGTGAGATGGCAAAGCAGGTGCAGCTGGTGCAGGTGCCGCCTTGCCCATTGCAACTGCTGGCAGAGGGAGGGGCAGCAGCCTCTGGCTGTCTTCTCACGAAGATGGCTTCAAAAGCTTGCTTGGCTCCTGGTTGAAGGAAAGGAGCGGGCGGGAAAGGGGGGAGGGGGGCAAGGGTTGTGGGGGAGAGGGGAGAGGGGAGAGGGGAGAGGGGAGAGGGGAGAGGGGAGAGGGGAGAGGGGAGAGGGGAGAGGGGAGAGGGGAGGGAGAGGAGGAGCCAGGGGGAGGGGGGGAGGGGTTGGGGGTGGGAGGGGGAGGGAGAGGTGTTGTCATGGCAAGGCAGGTGCAGCTGGAGCAGGTGCCACGTTGCCCCTAGCTACTGCCAGCAGGTGTAGGAGCAGAAACTTCCGGCTGGCCTCTTTTATCACTTCCACTCTTCCCCCACATGCACCCTCCTGACTGCCCCTCGCTCCCCTCTCCCACCCACCTTCTGAGAGGCCCTGTGCCTTGGACACAGAGGGCACAATGGGAATGACTTGAAACACACACGCATCCTCGTTATAGGCCCCCTCGCTCCCCTCTCTTCCCTCTCTCCCTTATCAACCCCTGCTCCCCTCTCTCCCCTCTCTCCCTTCTCTCCCCTCTCTCCCCTCTCTCCCCTCGCTCCCCTCTCTCCCCTCGCTCCCCTCTCTCCCCTCGCTCCCCTCGCTCCCCTCTCTCCCCTCTCTCCCTCTCTCCCCTCGCTCCCCTCTCTCCCCTCGCTCCCCTCTCTCCCCTCGCTCCCCTCTCTCCCCTCTCTCCCTTCTTTCCCCTCTCTCCCTTCTCTCCCCCCTCTCCCCCTCTCCCCTCTCTCCCCTCTCTCCCCTCTCCCCTCCTCCCCTCTCCCCTCTTTCCCTCGCTCCCCTCTCTCCCTCGCTCCCCTCTCTCCCCTCGCTCCCCTCTCTCCCCTCGCTCCCCTCTCTCCCCTCGCTCCCCTCTCTCCCCTCTCTCCCTTCTTTCCCCTCTCTCCCTTCTCTTCCCCTCTCCCCTCTCTCCCCTCTCTCCCCTCTCCCCTCGCTCCCCTCTCTCCCCTCTCTCCCCTCTCTCCCCTCTCTCCCCTCGCTCCCCTCTCTCCCCTCTCTCCCCTCGCTCCCCTCGCTCCCCTCTCTCCCCTCTCTCCCTTCTTTCCCCTCTCTCCCTTCTCTCCCCCCTCTCCCCTCTCTCCCCTCTCTCCCCTCTCTCCCCTCGCTCCCCTCTCTCCCCTCTCTTCCCTCGCTCCCCTCTCTCCCCTCGCTCCCCTCTCTCCCCTCGCTCCCCTCTCTCCCCTCTCTCCCTTCTTTCCCCTCTCTCCCTTCTCTCCCCCCTCTCCCCTCTCTCCCCTCTCTCCCCTCTCTCCCCTCGCTCCCCTCTCTCCCCTCTCTTCCCTCGCTCCCCTCTCTCCCCTCGCTCCCCTCTCTCCCCTCGCTCCCCTCTCTCCCCTCTCTCCCTTCTTTCCCCTCTCTCCCTTCTCTCCCCCCTCTCCCCTCTCTCCCCTCTCTCCCCTCTCTCCCCTCGCTCCCCTCTCTCCCCTCTCTCCCCTCTACCGCACATGCCTTCAGAGAGACCCTGCGCCTTGGACACAGAGGGCATAGCACAGCTGCCTTCCACCGCGAGTGACTGTCACCTGTCAGGCAACACACATGCCCTCACACGCCTTGACTCTGCCCTCACACACCTTGACTCTGCCCTCACACACCTTGACTCTGCCCTCACACACCTTGACTCTGCCCTCACACACCTTGACTCTGCCCTCACACACCTTGACTCTGCCCTCACACACCTTGACACATGCCCTCACACACCTTGACTCTGCCCTCACACACCTTGACTCTGCCCTCACACACCTTGACACATGCCCTCACACACCTTGACTCTGCCCTCACACACCTTGACTCTGCCCTCACACACCTTGACTCTGCCCTCACACACCTTGACCGTGCCCTCACACACCTTGACTCTGCCCTCACACACCTTGACTCTGCCCTCACACACCTTGACTCTGCTCTCACACACCTTGACTGTGCCCTCACACACGTTGACTCTGCCCTCACACACGTTGACTCTGCCCTCACACACCTTGACTCTGCCCTCACACACCTTGACTGTGCCCTCACACACCTTGACTGTGCCCTCACACACCTTGACTCTGCCCTCACACACCTTGACTCTGCCCTCACACACCTTGACTGTGCCCTCACACACCTTGCCTGCGCCTGTACACAGCACATACCTTCAGAGAGACCCTGAGTCTTGGACACAGAGGGCAGAATGGGAATGACCTCGAACTCGGTTGACTTGAGCGCATTCTCCACCTGGGGGTACACGGGCAGGCAGGGCACATGGGGTGGAACAGGAGACACACAAAGCACAGTATGGGTGGAACACGCAAATGTGACTTTTGAGTTGACTCATAAGTCACATCAGGAGAAACACACACTGCACATTATGGGTGGAACAACCACACCTACTCACCGCATCGGCATACTCCATGTGGGGGTGAGAAATCTCGGACCAGAACCACCCCTTGTGCGTTAGATGGAATGGAAGCCATCGGAGCTCACCTCACCGGACCATTCAATGCAGCAGTGCACGCACTGAGTCCCCGCATTGGCATACTCCACATGAGGATGCAAGATCTCGGACCACGGCCAGCCACCCCTCCTGCTTGAGTGCCGTGGGACAGTCAATACTCACCTCACCCTCACCAGCACATTCATCATGGGAAGCGACACTCGCCGCATCAGCGTAGTCCACATGCAGGGGCGAGATCTCGGACCACAGCCACCCCTCCTGCTTGAGCCTGCTTGAGTCATCTCAAGCCGTTATGCTACCCTATCACACCCACTCACGACTTTTCAGGCGTCTCAAAGCTGTTATGGTACCCTATCACGCCCACTCACTCACGCAGGTGGCACTCACCGCATCGGCATACTCCACGTGAGGAGGGGAGATCTCGGACCACAGCCAGCCCTCCTGCTTGAGCCACCCCGCGTTCACCCGACCCAGCATGAGCTTGGTGGGGCATGCAGGGGTGCTGGCGCCTGAAACAGTGAAGAGCATAACACATGGGAGTGAATTTGGCAATAACGAGGATGAGATGGAAGCAGGGGTAGTGGTGGTGGCAAGCACCTCCTGCTGGAGCTAGCCGTCGTTCACCCGACCCAGCATGAGCTTGGAGAGACACTCTGGCATGCTGGCGCCTGAGATGCCCAAAACGAGGATCACCAAAACGAGGTTACAATAACGAGGATGAGATGGAAGGAAGGAAGGTGCCCGTGGTTAGATTGGTGAGGGAAGGGACGGGGGGCCGAGATGTGCCCAGACGAGTGCATGACCTCACTTCCTCGCACTCACTCAGTATTGCACTGTCCACTGTCTCTCCCTCCTGCACTCAATTCCTCACTCAGACACAGCCCCCCCTTTCCCCCAATCACTCACTCACCCGCCACCGCCCACCACATTTTTGCGCACACCCAACAGCACCCACGAGATGGGGCTTAGGGCCTAAGCTACTTTCGCTTCCCCCACCCTCCCCTTTCCCTCCCTCACTCACCCGCCACCAGCACACTCTTATGCACTTCCAGCAACACCCATGGGATGGGGCTTAAAGCCCTACCTTCCCCTTCCCCCCCCCCGCCCCCCTCACCCATCCCCCCCCTCCCACGCACACAAACACCACATGCGAGTGGCATGCACTCACCCGCCACCACCACGTTGTTGCGCACGTCCAACAGCACCCACGAGATGGGGCATTCCCCATCCCTCCTCAATCGCCCCCTTCCACATGCACACGTGCACCAACACGCACACGTGCACCAACACTCACACAACAGAGCAGCATCCACTCACCCGCCACCACCACGTTGTTGCGCACGTCCAACAGCACCCACGAGATGGGGCCCTCTGGGGTCAGCCGAGACACGCGACCGCTGGAGAGGGGGGCGGGGGAGAGTGGGGAGGAGGTGGGGAGTGGAAGGAACAGGACGAGACACGGGGTTACATTTAGGGATGGGGCTCTTGGGAGTCCACCGAGATGCACGGCTACTGCAGGGGAGAAGGGAGTGGAGGAATGGGGAGAGAAGAGAAGGACACGGAATGCATGCGTGCATGCATACGTAACACAAGTGGATAGCCATACGGTCAGGCAGCACAGCTCCACCTCAACACATGGAGAGCTGTATGGAGAGCCGTATGGACAGGACATCCCCCACCCCGCCTCTCAATCTGCACGGAGATGATCACCTGGGTGCTGCTACACGCAGTGGTGAGCAGCAGAGTGCGCCCATCCGCTAGCCACGGGTTACATGCATGCATATACACAGCCATACACCAGCTGAATGTCAAGGTGCTATGGCATTCCCCACCCCATCCGCCATAGGTTACAGCCTCACCTCTCCACGTGCACGGAGATAATGGCCTGGGTGCTCCGCCAAGCCGTGGTGAGCAGCAGCGTGCGCCCATCCGCCAGCCACGGGTTGGCAATGGCTTTGTCTGCATACAGCCCAGGGAAGCCTCCCTGCTCCTCCGCCCTCGCCACCACGCTAATCTGCACTCCAGAGAAGGCACAGAAGGCAAAGGGGATGTGTTGACGGCTTTCCATCCGCCAGCCACGGGTTGGCAATGGCTCTGTCCGCATAGAGCTCCAGGAAGCCCCTCTGCCTGCTCCTCCGCCCTCCCTCGCCACCACGCTGATCTGCGGGCAGGGAAGAACAGCGCGGGAATGGTACACAAAGGGAGGCCATATGGCAGTGATTAGCGTTGCTGCAAGTGCAGGGAGCTGGCGACATACCAAGCAGGAGGGCCCTTGGGATTCGTTAAGGACACTCACCATGCTGCTGATGGGGATGTCTATAGCGGGGATGTTGGAAGGCCACGAAGGAAAATCCTCCTTGGGATCAGCAGGGGCGGCGTGGGGGAAGGAGAGCCCTTCCTTGGGCCAGAGCAGCGAGTGCAGAGAGTTGGGTGGCTTGATGACATGACATACTCCCGTCCCAAGGAAACGGTACCAAGCAGGAGGCACCAAACAAGCGCACTCACGATGTTGTTGATGGGGATGTCTATAGAGGGGACATCGGAAGGCCCCGAACGGGTGTCCTTCTCGGGATTAGCAGGGGAGGCGTGGGGGAAGGAGATGCCCTCCTTGACCTAGAGCAAGGAGTGCAGCGATTTGGTGTCACGGCATGCTCCCATACCCAGCAACAGCGCTCGATTCCACCAACTTGTCGAGGACACTCACGATGCTGTTGATGGGGATGTCTATGGCAGGGACGTCGGAAGGCCCGGAGCGAGAATCCTCCTCGGGATCAGGGGAGGCGTGGGGGAAGGAGATGCCCTCCTTGGGCCAGAGCAGCGAGTGCAGCGAGTTGGTGGCTCCGTGTGTGCCGCTGTCCACTGCTGCATGCGATGATAGGAACACCAGCAGAGTGCCATCCGGGCTGAAGGGAGGAGAGGGGGGAAAACAAAGCAGGTTTGCAGCCGGCAAGAGCCAATGAGGAGGGAGTGCAGGTTTGCTCTGAGGAACGAGAGCGGGGAGGAGTGCAGTGAGTTGGTGGCGCCGTGCGTGCTCCCGTCAACTGCTGCGTGCGATGAGAGGAACACCAGCAGACTGTCGTCGGGGCTGGGAAGGGAAACAGCGGGGGGTCGCACGCAGAGGAAGGAAAGAATGCGGGGGGAGGAAAGGAAGCGGGGGAATATGGGAGGTGATTTCCTGTGCTCCGTGTGAGCCGCTGTCGAGTGCTGCGTGCAAGGAGAGGAACACCAGCGGAGTACTGTTGGAGCTGGGAGAAACAAGGGGGGAAGGGGGGAAGGGGGGGAAGGGGGGAAATGGGGAAGGGGGGAAGGAGGGAGGGGGGAGGCGAGGGCAAGGGAGGAAGCGGTGACTCTTGAGTTGACTTCGATTCAGCTCTCCAGTGCGGCACGTAAGATAACGAGAACCACACTTTTAGACCTGAAGCAGCAGCGAATCAAGGACCCATCAAACCAGCACTTAAAAAAGGACTGGGAGGGGTGGTGGAGTCTATCACTGTATCAAGAACCGAACCAGCAGTCTATCTCACACTTCCATTGTGCCTGAAGCCAGCAGCATACCTGAAGCCAGCAGCATACCTGAAGCGAGGTGAGAAGGCACTGCTGATCCCGGCTGTGAGCTTCACAATGCTCGTGCTGCTGCCTGTCTTGCGGCTGTTTGAAACGGGGTAAACAGGGGGCAGGAGGGGAGGAGACAGGAGGGCACTTGGTGTCACGTGACGCCCTATGAGGCTGGCAAATGACCTTCACAATGCTCGTGCAGCTGCCTGTCTTGCGCCTGTTTTGAAACGGGTAAAACAGGGGGCAGGAGGAAAGGAGACAGGGGAGCACTTAGTTGGTGTCATGTGGTGATGCCCTGTGAGGCTGGCAAATGAGCTTCGCAATGCTCCTGCCACTGCCTGTCTTGCGGCTGTTTAAACCGGGAGTAAAAACGAGGCAGGAGGGGAGGGGACAGGAGGACACTTCATGTGACGCTTCGTGATCCCAGCAGTGAGCTTCACAATGCTCGTGCCGCTGCCTGTCTTGTGCCTGCTTGAAATGAGAGACGAGGGGGCAGAAGGCGAGACAACAAGAGGGCACTCAATGTAATGTGACGCCCTGTGTGATCCCAGCAGTGAGCTTCATAATGCTCGTGCCAGTGCAAGCACTTTGCACCTGCAAGGCAAAGCGAAGAGGAGCCCAGGGCAGGGAACAAGGGGGCACGGGAGATGAAGAGGAGCAGGGGGGGGGGGGGAGGGGAGGAAGGGGGAACGAAGGGGGGAGATTGTAGGAGGGCTTGGCAGAGATGGTGTGTGGGGGGGGAAGGGAAGAGGGGGGGGGGGATCTTAGGGGAGTTTGGCAGCAAGCAAGTGACAGGAACGCTTGGCACAATACACAATGCCAAGGCGTCTAGAAGTGAAATTGGAGGGGAAGGAGGGGGAGGGGTGCGTGTGGGTTTAGCACATGCACCAGGTGTGCTTCACTCACCCAGATGCGAATTCGGAGGGCACTTGGGCAGCGAACAAACGGCAGGGGCGGTTGGCGCAATACACAATGTCAAGACGGCGAGCCGAGTTAAAATCGGACAAGGCGGAGGAGTGTGTGGGTTGCTGTACCCTCCTGGGGGTGCTCCACTCACCCAGATGCGTCTTGAGAGGGCACTTGGGCAGCAAACAGGTGGCAGGGGCGATTAGCGCAGTACACAATGCCAAGGCGTCTGGCCGTGTTGAAGTTGGAGGCGAAGGAGGACCACCCCACGAACACCACCGTCTGCTGCACGCCCTCCACTGCTGGCGCCCACACCACCTGGCCCGCGCTGATGTCTTCTGGAATGCCCTCAACTGGCTGGACGACACCACTGGAGGAAAGGTGCAAGGGATGGAGAGGTGGGGAAGAGGAGACGAGATAGCCCATGAAGACTGCTCGCTGCTGCATGCCCTCCACTGCTGGCGCCCGCACCACCTAGCCCGCGCTGATGTCCTCTGGAATGCCCTCAACTGGCTGCACAACGCCGCTGCAGAGGGGGGAGTAAGCGGGGATGGGAGGCGAGGGCTTAGTTGGACGGGAAGGAGTGACCTAAGCAGAGACATCTGTCTGCTGCACTCCCTCCCTCTGCTGCTCGCGCCCACACCACCTGGTCCGCGCTGATGTCCTCTGGAATGGCTCCACTGGCTGGACGCCACCGCTGCATTGCAGGGGAAGAGAGCAAGGAAGTGAGGAAACAACACTTTGCAGCAGTTAATTGTCTGCTGCTGGCCATCCACTGGTGGCGCCCACACCACCTGGCCCGCGCTGATGTCCTCTGGAACTCCACTGGCAAATAAAGACGTCCCAATGCTACGCACCTGACAGTGTTGAGCACAAACACCAGTGGCCGCTGCTTCCCCGCCTCTCCCTCCCCCCTATCCTCCATCCGCTCCCCCTCCCCCTTCCACGCCCCTGCCTCTGCAGCTGACTTGATACCTCCCTATACCACCCACCAGACAGTGCGTTTGAGATACCCCTGCTAAGCACCTGACTGTATTCAGCACAAACACCAGCGGCCCTTGCTTCCCCATGTATCTTTCTCCCCGGTCCTCCATCCACTCCCCCTTCCCCTTCCACGCCACCCACACCTGCAACTGCTTTGATATCCCTGTACCTCCGACTTGACAGTGCCATTAAAACGCCCCTTTAGCGCACCTGACAGTGTTGAGCACAAACACCAGCGGCCGCTGCTTCCCCGCGTATCTCTCGCCCCAGTCCTCCATCCACTCCCCCTTCCCCTTCCACGTCCCTGCCTCTGCCGCCCCCCCATTCTTCCCCTTCCCCGCACCTCCCGCCGGGGCTGGCGCCGCTGCTGCGGATCCGAACCTGCCCCGAGCTGGGCCGGTAGGTGCGGCGGGAGGGTGCTGGGTGGCTAACGTGGCAGCGGGCTGCCGCGGCTGGCCGAAGACAGGCTTGGCTGGGGCAGGCGCTTCTGCCACGTAGGCAACAGAGGTCTCATCATCGTTCCACGACACTCCCTCGAACCTGAGAGAGAGGACGGGGTAAGGGGGGGAGAAAAGGGATGCAGAAGAGGGAGGCAGAGGGAGACAGAAGGAGGGAGAGGGAGGCATGAGACAGAGAGGGGCATGAGATAGACGGAGACTGAGGCGATCCAAACACACGTAGGCAGCAGAGGTCACATCCTCGTTCCATGCCACACCCTCGAACCTCAGAGGGGGGGACGAAGGGAGGCGGAGCGGGGGGAAGGCGGGGCCACGGGGATGAATGAAGGGAGGAAGGAGGAGATTAGATGGGGTCATGGGAGGCATCGAGCCGATGCAAAGCACAAGCAGACAACAGATGTCTCATCCTCGTACCCCCCACCCCACCCATGCAAACGAACTGACACATCCACACATCCACACACCATCTATCAGTCTACACTCACTCACTATCCATCATGATACACAGCCCCATGGACAGTAACCGGCACATGCACCACCTCCCCTCACCCGCTCTGCACGCATTCGCCACCCATCACCAGCTTAAATCCACTCACTACCCACCTCCACCTCTCTGCACCCACTCACCATCCACATCCACCTCTCTGCACCCACTCACCATCCACCTCTCTGCACCCACTCACCATCCACCTCTCTGCACCCACTCACCATCCACCTCTCTGCACCCACTCACCATCCACCTCTCTGCACCCACTCACCATCCATCTCTCTGCACCCACTCACCATCCACCTCTCTGCACCCACTCACCATCCACCTCTCTGCACCCACTCACCATCCACATCCACCTCTCTGCACCCACTCACCATCCATCGGCGTACACCCCCCCATGAACAGTAGCCGCCACATGCACCTCCCTCAGAAGCCGCCCCGCGCCCCACACCTCCAGCTTCACCGCCGCCCCCTCCTTCCCCGCCCCCTCCGCGCCCCCTCCTCCCGCTCCGCCCTCCCCATTCCGCACCACCAGCAGCCTCCCCCCCGAGGGGGAGGGCGCGATGAGGGTGACACCAGTGAGCTCAGTGGGGAAGGGCGACCAGTGGAAGGAGGAGAGGTCGCCCTGGGGGTCGGGCACGTGCACGGTTGACAGGTACTTGCGCATGGCGTTGGCCGGGAGGTTCTTCTGCGACATTGCCACCGTCACGTCCAGGCTGGCCTTGCCTGGGGGTGAGGAGTAGGGGGAGAGGGTAGGGGGAGAGGGTAGGGGGAGAGGGTAGGGGGAGAGGGTAGGGGAGGAGGGTAGGAAATGGCAGAGAATCACGCCCAGAGCAGGCACAAGAGAAACGCGCCGAATCAGGCGAGGGCTGGGACAAAGGGAAGTGAGAGGAATACGGGAATGAGGGGGGGGACGCGATGAGGAGAGGTCGCCCTGGGGGTCTAGGCTGGGCTCGCCTTGCCTGCAGACAACGAGGTGTCGTGACGAGGTGCCTGCACGACAGGAAGCGTGTCGTGTGACATTGTAACGAGGTGACTTTTGAGTCGACTCATTAGAGTGAACAAACGCATAGGGAGATGGAACCTGAACATGCTAAAGTTTGGTGAACCGGAAGGAGCGGAAAGGTCGTGAAATACGAGGGTGCGGAAGCAAGGCAAGGGAAGTACCTTGAGCACCTTTGCCCTTGGGTCCTGCCGCTTGACCTGCAACACAGTATGGGGTGGGTTCAATGTGAACATTCAGTGGACATTCAGTGGACAATCAGTAGACAATCAGTAGACAATCAGTAGACAATCAGTAGACAATCAGTGGACATTCAGTGGACAATCAGTGGGCATTCCATGGGTACTCAGTTGCATTCAGTGAAGACCACAAAAAGAGGTTTCCAGCCGGAGGGAAAGCAGAGGGGAACACAATAGAAGAAAGAAACACGGTGAGAACACAGGGAAACGCGCAATGAAGATTCGTCACGAATAATCCAGGGGAATACTTTTTGGTGGCTGGATCGGTGGAAGATTCGCGTGCGGAATGGAAGCAGAGGACCAGCCAGAATGGTCCTCTCCATCCATGTGATCTTGCGAGAGGACCAGCCAGAATGGCAGATGCATTGCATGTCAAGGTGCTGCTGCGATGCCGTCGTGCATACACCAGCCACCCACCTGACCCTCACCAGTCTAACCACGCATCACTTCAACTCTTTCACCCTCCTCCGCCACCTCCATTCCCCTCTCTTGCAGTCACACACAATATACTTAGCCCATCAAGACCACGACCAGAAGGCACCCACCGACAGGAGTGACTCGGCACCAGGCCTTGTCGATGCTGGCGATCAGCGAGAACGACTCGAGCAGCTCCTCCTCCTCCACCGTCCCCGCGCGGTCGATCAGGCCGCCGCCCTCTGCACCCGTCGCCATGGCCCTTGCGACCGTTAACGAGGGTTTGAATTCTTGGCTGAACCGAGCCGGTGCAGACGCGACAGGCACGCCGCGGCTGAAAGGGCAGCGCAAGAAGTGGGGATTTCATTATCAGACATTTCGCTTCACCGCAGGACCAATTTTTTCGAGATTTTGAACAGAAGATTCGTGCCTCGACAAGGGATCACTGGACACCGACGCAACGTCTTCCAAACGAATCTCTCACTAATGCATCACCTGCGACCTGCCAGCCAATAATCGTGAGTTTAAACTGTCTTCATGCTTATATGTCCCCTGCACGTTTCGGTTCTACACTACTGCTTCAATCGGCGAAACGCTGCTGCGAGGCTGGCTGGCTGGCTGGCTTTCTGCTCTGGGCGCTCAGGGCAAAATCCTAGACCGCCTCGAATGCAACTTCCCGGGCAGCCTTGAAATATTTTGCAAGTTCTCGAGATTCAGCAATCCCTAAACATTATTCCTCGGCACTGGCTCGGTATCCATCTGAGGCTAGCTGGCTCCTCGTTCCGACAACCTATTGAACGGTCGATCTATAAACGACTAAAGGACAAAATTCTATTCCGGTATTCACAGCTGTAATGCTCGCACCCTTGCAACTGGAAATCACGATCAGGCAGGAACGAGAGTGCTGGCCGTACGGCTGAGTGATTGTAACGACGCTGAGCTGTTACAACGGCGATCGACGGCCGCTACAACGAACACCTGTACATTATCAGTACCGGATTGCACTACAACGAATCAAGCACTCCCACGGATGCTACAACAGGATGCCGGGGGAGAAGTAAGCGAATTCCATGGAATGCTGTTGAATCGGAGGCAGTTAACAACTGGCCAGCTGTAGCAATAAAAAGTCAGAAAACTATTGTACTTGCTACAAAAGGATCTGCCTGATAGCCAAAACTGCGGAGGTGCAGGTGCGCACCTGCGGCGCGCAGGTGGAGTACAGGTGGGCTGCGGAGGCCTTATTTCCATCAAAACTGTTCTACTAACACCGCTGTTAACAACTGCGGAGGCCTTATTTCGTACTTACATACGGAAGGATCTGGCGGATAGCAGACGAGAACTGAGTCCTGTCGCTCGGCTTCCAACGGCTAAACTCCCAGCGCGATTAGTTGAAAGAGCTATGCGAGTATTATCGACTCCGGATCTTAGAGCAGATCGCAGGCGATCTGTGGGGAGTGTACGCGAAGCCACGCGCAACCGAGCAGAAACCGCAATGTGCATAAGTGCCCGCTTCGGAGGATCGCTGGTGAATTCGAGCACGAAAGGCCTTGGCGACAACCAACCAACTGTGACAGAGATCGAGGCCGCAAATTTGGGAGCCTGTTTTTAGTTAGTGGAAACCGTTGGATCTAGGTGCTGGATGGTGTTGGCTCTAGAATCTAGATCCAATGAATGGCCAGGATCTGTTGAGGAGGGTGGAGGTGGTAGAGGTCCTCGGGATTGACGAAGAGATCCATTCGTAGAGAGGGAGCCAGGCTCGTACGCGTTTGAAAACCTTCGTCTTATGATAACTCGTCGGAGCCTACAAAGCTGCATGCGTAAAACAAAAGGTTGCGGATTGGGTAGTTGTTGGTTCGCGAATCAGGATTGTATTTTGAATAGGAATAAAAATCCTTACAACGATGTGTTACGAGTTACAACTAGCAAAAGATAGCTGGATGGAGAGTGCCTTGCCGCGTCGTCCCATTTCTGGCGTTTCGCACAGGTGCTCGCATCCAGCTGACACTGCATTGCGCCTGACAAGCCGTCAGATCGACCAATCCGTGAGAAATGCTTTCCATGGTCGGAGGGATACACTCGACACGTCAGTCGGCTCCTGGTAGTAACGAAATCTTTGTAACCAGCCAGCTACTTCGCTTGCGGCTAACCATACCAGCCTCCCAGCGAAACCCTGTTTCTCATAGCCGACGTGCTTGTGTCGGTGCCACGCTCCAAGCCAGATCATAAGGTGTGCCAGAGATTCCGCCAGGGAAATTGGCTCTGAGCGGCATTCCCCAGAGCTGACGGCCCCTCGAGATTACCACCACGGTTTTCCCGCGTCACGCCTCCCCTCAACCACCCCTCCTTCGCGCGGCCTTTTCAAGGACAGGCAGACTGGGGGGGGATGCTCCCCTCCCTCCCCTCCCCTTTTCCCCCTTCCCTCCCTCCACTTACTCCCCTCCCACTTCCCTTGGTGTCAGAAGTGTTCGTCGAAGTTCAAAATCCGACTTAACCGCTGTAAAACTGATCAGATCCTTGCACAGCCCAGAGCACCCTTATAAAACGCATCGACACGGCATAATCTTGAACTCCTTTGTCCCAAGCCAGACCTTTCCTCGCCTCCTGAAGGAACCAGTTGCAGGCCGTACGGGGTCCAAATCTTCAATCTGACTGCATTTCCCTTTCCCCCCTGGCCTATCGCTGCCAACCTCGCCTTTTTGCCCCGCCACGCCGCACTGCGACCTCAAGACCCCACGGCATCCGATGCTCATCATTCGTTACGCCAGTCGCCAGTCGCCATCGCCAGTCGCCAGTCTCCAGTCAGCCACTTGTCGGCTGGCCGAGCGTTGATAAGTTTAGACCCTCTGATCCTCGAATAGTGGTGGATCTGTTTCTGTTGACCCGTCATTCAGTTGTCAAGGTCGTCCAGCGATCAGGGTGCTCCTGATGCTGGTCCTGTACCGTGTTCTCGACCTCTCAATAGCTTAGCGGACCTTACTACATCAAGCATGGACCAAGAAACAGCAGCTGCACCTTAGTTCCTGCTGCTACTGCTTTGTTTCTGCTGTTTCTGCTGGTGCCGCCTAGTGTACAGGAGTGCAGCCTCACTCGCCTGTTCGCGTAGGCTGTCTCAGAACCCTAGTCGGCTTCCTCCGCCTGCTCATACTCCCCCCTGTTACCCGTTTTGTAACTTCCGGAGCAGTACGCGAAAGGAGCCGCCGTAGGTTTCTCGCCCTCGCTGTTTCCTTAGCGAACAGAGCAGTAGCGCGGAGAGAGCAGTCGCGACTTACATCCTCGTGCGGTACCGCCAGTACTCTGCAGTGTTTACCGTTTCCTGCAGCGTCAGCAGCATTAGCAGTAGTGTCGGCAGCTGCGGCACCAGCAGCATCAGCAACATCAGCGACAACAGCGGCAGCAGCGGCAGCGGCGGCAGCGGCGGCAGCGGCGGCAGCGGCGGCAGCGGCGGCAGCGGCGGCAGCGGCGGCAGCGGCGGCAGCAGCGGCATCAGCGGTAGCAGCGGCATCAGCGGTAGCAGCGGCATCAGCGGTAGCAGCGGCATCAGCATCTGTCCAAAAACCATATCTACCCCATTCCCTCTTGTAGCGACGAGTCCGTCTACTGACACGTCACCACGGGCAGCACTGGCCGACGGAATCCGTCCAAATGAACTACCCTTGGCTGGAGCCGTTAATAGGTGGCGGCGCGTTCACAGACACGCCGTGCCCAGATGACTTCATTCCCCAGATGCGCGCTCTAGATCCGCTACATCCTCTAGATCCTCAAGAATCAAATCCGAATCCGATCCACCACCCATCGCACCCCCAATCCTCCGCCGACTTCCGCGCGCTTCAAGAGTCAATTCTTGAAACACCTCAAAAAGCTTTCCGCATGCTGCAGGAGTCCGCTTCCGCCACAACCTCCGCCTCCTCCGCAGCTCCCCCACCTGCCGCTACCCCGCCTCCCCCGCGCATGGCCACTGTGCGCCAAGGTTCATCCGCCCCCCCGCCGGCAGCGCCGGCGCTGGGGGTTCTGCAGAGCTCCGTTGCTCCCGCGCAGCCGCCCAGCGCGCCGATCATCGATGCGCCCCCTCCGCTGCCGCCCAACGCGCCTCCGCCTATCCCCGCGCAGCCGCCGCCAGTGGTGGTGACGAAACCGCCGAGTTTCAAGCGGAAGCCGCCGGTGCAGCCGCCGCCGGCGTCTCGCGGCAAGCCGCCAGCGCCAGTGTTGCAAACTCCGCCCGCGCCGCCACCACTCGCGCCCCCCATAGATGCGCCTCCCCCCGTTCTGCCCGATCCCCCCCCGCCAATGGTCGATATTCAGCCTGCGCCCCCGCCTGAGATTCTCTTCCCCCCTCCTGTGTTTCCCCCGCCAAAACCAAAGTCACCTCCCCCCAAGCTGCTGGCGCGTCCGCCGCCAAAGCCGCCAACCCCGCCCCCGCCAGCCCCTATTCCTCCCCCGAAAAAACCTCCTCCGCGTCCCCCTAAACTCGTTAAGCGACCTCCCCCGCCCCTTATAACGGAACCTCCCGCCACGGCTCCAGTAGAACCCCCCGCGGCACCTCCCGTTCCGCCTCCCGCGGAACCACCCGCGGAACCACCCGCAGAACCACCCGCGGAACCACCTGCGGAGCCACCAGCGTTACACCCAGCTCCTCCGCCAGCCCCTCCCCCAGCCGAAACCCCCGTTCCCGCGCCTGCACCTCCGCCAGTCGTTGATCCTCCGCCTAAGCCTGCGCCCGCGCCTTCCCCAATCGCCGCTCCTCCCCCACCCGCCAAGGCACCGGTTTCCGCGCGCCCGCCCAGGCCAAAGTTGCGCGTCCCGCCGCCGCCACGGCCTCCCCCGCGGGCGGAAGCTCCCGCCCCCGCGCCTATTTTCATCCCGACACCGTCCCCTCACTCCCCCCCTTACATAGACATGCCGTCCCCGCCAGTCAGCTACATGTCTCCGCCACCCCCGCAAGCTACAGCGCCCGCACCTGCGCCGGAAGCGGGCGTGAGCGCGGCGGTAGTGGCGGGCGCGGTGGCGGGGGGGGCGCTGCTGCTGGTGACGCTGGTGGTTGGGCTGCTGTGCTTGTTCTATTTTGCAGTTAATCGGCGCGAGGAGGAGGAAGAGGGCTACCCGCGGGGCAGCACGACCGACTTCTATGCGCTGAAAGGTGAGCTTTGGTTGATCGTGTGAGGTGATGTTCTTGATTGTGAGTGGCGTGGCAGAGGTGGTGGTTGGGCTTCTGTGCCTGTTGACTCGTGCACAGTGTGATTGTGCCGGATGTTATAGTACATGTTGTGATTGTGTATGTCCTAACACAACTGCTATCGCCTCATCCTCCCCTGCTCTCATCCTCCCCCTCCCTCATCCTCCCCTCATCCCCACTTCCCCCTTACCATCACCAACCAGGCTACGGCATGTACGACAATAACCAAACGCCTTCTCCTACCCCCCTCTCCCCCCACTTCCCCCACCCCCCTCTTCCTCCACCCCCCTCTTCCCCCCCCCCCTTCCCCTCCCAACCAGGCAACGGCATGTATGCTGAAGGCTTCTACACCATCGCGTCAGGGGGCCAGGGGGTGTTCCCCCATGTTACCACCGCCTACTGAGGGGCCTCAAAAGACCCCACGCCCCCTCCCCTTCCCCCCCTCACTCCCAACCCTTCGTCCAACCAGGCAACGGCATGTATGCTGAGAAATTTTACACCACAGCATCAGGGGGCCAGGGAGAGTCGGGTTACCCCATGTTACCGCCGCCCAACTCCTACGCCGTCGTGCCCATGGGGGGATCCCACATGATGCTCCCACCAGACGACTCCTCCGCTGGCTCCGCTCAAGCCTCTGCTTCCGCCCCCTTTCCGGCTCCCCTTCCGCCTCCACCTTTTGTAGGGCTTTAAAGAACCCCACTTCCCCCCCCTCTCTCTCTCTCCCCTTCTCCCCCCCCCCCAAACCTAACCAGGCAACGGCATGTATGCTGAAAGCTTCTTCACTACGGCCTCGGGGGGTCAGGGAGGGTCGGGTTACCCCATGTTACCGCCGCCCAACCCGTACGCCGTCGTGCCCATGGGGGATCCCACATGATGCTCCCCCCAGACGACTCCTCCACTGGCTCTGCCCAAGCCTCTGCTTCCGCCCCCCTTCTCCCTCCCCTTCCGCCTGCACCTTTTGAAGGGCTTTAAAGAACCCCACTCCCCCCCTCCTCCCCCCCACCCTCCTAACCAGGCAACGGAATGTATGCGGAGAGCTTCTACACCACAGCGTCAGGGGGCCAGGGGGGGTCGGGTTACCCCATGTTACCGCCGCCCAACCCCTACGCCGTCGTGCCCATGGGTGGTTCCCACATGATGCTCCCCCCAGACGACTCCTCCGGTGGCTCCGCCGCCGCCGCCGCTGCTGCTGGAATGGCGATGGGGATGGGGATGGGAGCCGCAGGAGCCGCCGCGGTTGGCGCTGGCAGCAGCAGCCAGGGGAACAACCAGAACCAGAACCACATGCAGTCCCAGTCTTGGTTCTCCTATGAGGAGCTAGAGCAGGCCACAGGGGGGTTCGCCCGGACGAATCTTCTAGGAGAGGGAGGGTTCGGGAAGGTGTACAAAGGGGTGATAAGGGATGGGAAGGAGGTTGCGGTGAAGGTGCTGACGATCGGGGGCGGGCAAGGGGAGAAGGAGTTCAGGGCGGAGGTGGAGATAATTAGTCGGGTGCATCATCGGTATCTGGTGACCCTGCTGGGGTACTGCATTGGGGGCGATCAGCGGCTGCTGGTGTATGAGTTCGTGCCCAATGGGACGCTGGACGACGCGTTACATGGTGAGTGGAGGGTTTGTTACCTGGTAACCCTGTTTGAGCGCAACTGGGTAACCCTAATTGGGTGCAATCTGGTGACCTGCTGGGGTACTGCATCGGGGGCGATCAGCAGCTGCTGGTGTATGAGTTTGTGCCCAATGGGACGCTGAACGACGCGTTACATGGTGAGTGGAGGGTTTGTTACCTGGTAACCTTGCTTGAGTGCAACTGGGTAACCCTATTTGAGTGCGATCTTGTGACCTGCTGGGGTGCTGCATTGGGGGCGATCAGCGGCTGCTGGTGTATGAATTTGAACCCAATGAGACGCTGGAAGAGGCGTTTCACAGTGAGTGAAGGTTGTGTTACGTGGTAACCCTTTCGCCTCTTCTCTCCTCTCCTCTGTCTCCACTTATCTGCTTTAACTCTGCTTTTCTATCTCCTCTCCCTCTCCTCTTCATCCAACCCACCTCTCCCATCCCCTCCCCCCCCCCCTCCCCCATCTCCCCATCTCCCCCCCTCTCCCATCTCCCCCCCTCCCCCATCTCCTCCCTCCCCCATCTCCCCCCCTCCCACTCCCCTAACTCTCCTCCCCCTTCTCATTGGCTCACCTCTTACCTCGTTCCCCTCTCTCCCCCACCCCTCTCCACACGACCCCAGGCAAGAACGTGCCAGTGATGAGCTGGGCTTTAAGAATGAAGGTGGCAATCGGGGCGGCTAAGGGGCTGGCGTACCTGCATGAGGATTGTGAGTCGCCCCTTCCCCCCTCACTCTAGTTAGGTACGTTTGAAAAGCTTTTGGCCCTCTCTGTGTTGTATTGCTCTCATTCCGTGCCTCCGGTACCCACTTTGAGCAGCTCTCTCATCGTCCCTCCACACCCCATCCCACCTCTTCTTACCCCATTCCACAATACTCCACCGCTCTCCACCGCATCAGGCCATCCGCGCATCATCCATCGCGACATCAAGTCGTCCAACATCCTGCTGGACCAGCAGTACGAGGCACAGGTGAGAACAGTGTCCTCGTTATAAGGTAGATTCCTCGTTATAAGCACAGGATTTTCGTTATGTCTGATGCTCGACCAGCATCAAGTCGTCCAACATCCTGCTGGATCAGCAGTGCGAGGCAGGCACATGTGAGAGAACATTGGCCTCGTTATAAGACACAGGTGAGAAAATTGTCCTCGTTGTAAGTAAGATGGTCAACCGCCATCAAGTCGTCAAACGCCCTGCTGAACCAGCAGTACGAGGCACAGGTGAGAGAACTTTGTCCACGTTATAAAGCAAGGCTGAGAATACTGCTGCTATGTATTTGAAGGTAAGAATCCTCGTCATCATCTTCTCTATAAGGCATTTGTGAAAATATCCTCGTTATAAGGCAGTCGTGAGAACACCCTCCCTCTTGTCTCTTCATCCTTCTCCTCTCACCATTCTCCTCTATCGCTCTTCCCCCCTCCCTCCTCCACCCCTCCCTACCCCTCCCTACCCCTCCCTACCCCTCCTTGCTCTACAGGTTGCGGACTTTGGATTGGCCAAGCTGGCAACTGAAGGAGCCACTCACGTGTCGACACGTGTCATGGGAACATTCGGGTGAGTTGAGCTAGGGAATGGAAAGGCTAGCTGGTGGGCTAATTTTGTCTGACTTGCCACTCGCCTTGGTTCCAGTACGTCTCAAAACCCATACGAGTGGACTCAAAACTCACCTGGTATTCCCATGTGCTGGCCGTTTCCCCCTCGGTTTCTGTGTGGGCATCGCAGCTTGTGTTCCCACATGCACTCGCTTTCCACCGAGATACAATGCTTTCCACCGAGATACAATGCTTTCCATCTCAGTACGGCCCAATGCATTCCTCCCAAAGCACTAACCCAAACCCGCAGGTTTCGTGCCCCAGAGTATGCCATGAGCAGCCAACTCACCGACTAGTGGGACGTGTTTTCGTGTAGAGCTGCTTCTGATGCCCATCCCCTCCCTCCCTCCCACCTCCTTCCTTTCCCCCCCCCTCCCTCCCTCCACCTCCTTCCCTTCCTTCCCTCCCTTCCCCCCCCCTCCCTCCCTCCACCTCCTTCCCTTCCTTCCCTCCTACCCCACAGCTACCTCGCCCCAGAGTACGCCATGAGTGGCAAGCTCACAGACAAGTCGGATGTCTTTTCGTTTGGAGTGGTGCTCCTGGAGCTGATAACGGGGCGCAAGCCGGTGGACACAACACAGCCCCCTGGAAAAGAGAGCCTGGTGGAATGGGTGAGTCAATTTCTCTCCCGCCTGGTGCTCCTGGAGCTGATAACAGGGCACAAGCTGGTGGACACAACACAACCTTCCGGCAAGGAGAGCCTGGTGGAATGGGTGAGTTGCTTTTGTGTCCTTTTGTGCGTGCCTTGTTTGTCTCTTTCCCGGTGCTCCTGGAGCTGACAACGGGGCGCAAGCCGGTGGACACCATGCAGCCGTCAGGGAAAGTGAGCCTGGTGGAATGGGAGAGTTGCTGCTGTGCTGTTTCCTCCAGGCCTAATTTCTCCCTCGCCTGGTGCTCCTCGAGCTGATAACGGGGCGCAAGCCGGTGGACACCACTCAGCCTCCCGGCAAGGAGAGCCTGGTGGAATGGGTGGGTTGCTTGGCTTCTCTTGTTTTCGCTTAGGCATGTTTGTCACGAGAAGCAAAGCAACCCACCCTCTCTCTTGGAGTCATGCAAGCTGAAAGCGGGGCGGCAGCCTGTCGATGCCATGCAGCCACCACGAAATGGGAGCTCTGTGTTGCTTTGACCATGTGGAATGGAGTGAGTTGCTGCTGTGGGTTCTCTCTGTATTTCCTCTCGTTGTGCTCCTAGAGCTAGTAACGGGTAGGTACGAGAGGGGGGAGATGCATGTACGGGCGGGCGGGCTTCCAGTGCTTTCCCCTCATCCCTCATCCCTCATCCCTCATCTCTCATCCCTCATCCCTCATCTCTCATCCCTCATCCCTCATCTCTCATCCCTCATCCCTCATCCCTCATATCTCATCCCTCATCCCTCATCCCTCATCTCTCATCCCTCGTCTCTCATCCCTCATCCCTCATCCCTCATCCCTCATCTCTCATCCCTCATCTCTCATCCCTCATCTCTCATCCCTCATCCCTCATCTCTCATCCCTCATCTCTCATCCCTCATCTCTCATCCCTCATCTCTCATCCCTCATCTCTGATCCCTCATCCCTCATCTCTCATCCCTCATCTCTCATCCCTCATCTCATCCCTCATCTCTCATCCCTCATCTCTCATCCCTCATCTCTCATCCCTCATCACTCATCCCTCATCTCTCATCCCTCATCTTCTCTTTTCCGCTACTCCCTGTGCTCCTCCCTCCCTGCCGCAGTCCCGCCCTCTGCTCGCCAGCAACCAGATAGACATGCTTGCGGACGCCAAGCTAGAGGGGCGGTATGACGAGGAGGAGATGGAGCGGGCCATTGCCACTGCTGCTCTCTGCGTGCGGCACTCAGCTAATTTGAGACCCAAGATGGGACAGGTGAGTCACTCTCATAATGTGGATTGTGCAGCCCAGATTGGGGCGGGGGAG